ATATAGTTGCATTTTTGCATTGGGATTTTGTGGGTAGATCCGCTGCAAACCCTCACGAGACACAACTCGTCCACTAGGGTGACCTAGGGGTTTAAAGGCTTGTTGCACATGCTAAGTGCAATCGTGATTCTTACAAAAGTGAGTTAGATTTTATTTTTGTTTCTTTTGTCTTTTTATTTTACTCGAGGACAAGTAAAACTTAGGTTTAGGGGAATTTGATGAGTTGAAATTGTATACATATTAATGTGGAACTGTTGCCTTGATATTATTGATATTTGGATGAGTTTTATAAGATTTTACTGAGTTTTATGAGACTTTACATGATTTTCATTCTTTGTGCAAAAAAGGATTTGAATGCATAAAATAAGAGTTTTTAGGATTTATTGAATATTTTCTAAAAGTTGAGTGACTGAATTGCAAGAAGAAGAGTGGCCATTTGGAACCTAAATGAATGAATCTTGAGTTTTGGGATCTAAGTGCTCATAGTAAGAAATCTGGAGGACCAAATCTGCTATTTTACCATTGAAGAAACTACAAAATGAGGCCAAAAACCAACACGGGTGTAGTGTCGACACATAACCGGGGTGTCTACACCATGTGTTAAACGTCCAAAATCAGATTCTGTTTCCTATTTTGTGTCAACACGTAATCCGAAATGTCAACACCACGCGATCAACATCCAAAATTCAGTTTCCTATTTGTATTTCTGTTCCAAGTCCTATTTCTATTTCAATTAGGGTTTTTAAAATCCTATAAATACCCATCCAAATTCGGAATTAAGGGAGTTTTGAGAGGCTAGGGGCAGCCCTCTTTTGGGCATTATTAGAGATCAAGATTGAGGTTCCATCAACAATAGAAGATCAAAGAATTCGATTTCCTCAAATTGGGTTTTGTTTTTCCTTGTGTTTTTATCTATTGTTTGATATTTGAATGTTCATAACTTTGATTTCATATTTTATTATTTTTATTATGAACTGATTTATTCTACTAGGGTTACAATGTAACCTAGTCAATTCAATATGAATTTAGTGATTTTATACTTTCAATTAAAGTTATTTGCATGAGGAGTTTATATTATTGAACTTAATGCATTGGAAGTCTGATCACCTTTTAATTGATTTAGTGATTTATATATGAACTTGAGAAAGAATTGTGGAGATTAGACCAATAATAATATAAACCGTGCTAAACTATGAGACCGAGAGGTAATTAGCTCACATGTGGTAGTGGAGAAAGAGAAGAGAGTTAGGAGCTCCCCCTTTTTAAGCTAGAGGTTTTCCATAAAATTTAATGCTCATAAGTTTGTTTAAAATTACATAGAAATATGATTAATTTAACAAACAAGTGAATGATTAACTTGACTTGAGAAAGCTAGTTAATTAATTTAGGAAAATCTGCCATCACATGCAATAACACTCAACAATTTGGTAATTCAAAATTTATATTAATTTATTATGGTGAAGTCAATGCCTTAGTACCTCATATTTTAGTTAGGTTTAATTTAATTGTTATTTTCTTTTTATTATTCTTTTAGTTAAACTTTCTTCCCATTTGGTTGTCTAAATAAATTTGGATTAATTATTTTGGTACTTAGTTAGACACAATCCTCGTGGGTTTGACACTCTCCCATTATTATATTATTTGGAGCGACTAGTACACTTGTTAGGGTGATTTTAGTGCATCAAGTTTTTGGCACCGTTGCCGGGGATTGTTAATTTAATTAATATCGAAGTTGGTTAATTCTAAATTTAATTTGAACATTTTCTTTTATTTCTTTACTTTGATTTTTTTTTTTGTTTCTTTTGTTTTTATTTTTGTAGGTCTAACTATGGATCAAGTTGTCTTAAACATTGATGAGAATTATCAATGGCTTGCGCCAGAGATAAGGGCACAAGTTGGAGCAATACTTACCAAAGAAATTGACAATGATGAACTTGAACGATTTCAAGCAGCCATTGAAACGATCGAATTAAGGAAGGCTCTAATAGAACGATTAAATATCACTTGTGAATTATGCGGATTAGACCATTTTAGTTTTGGTTGCTTATTTAAATGATATAATTTGCTCAACTTAGTTGCTGAAGAGATACAAGGTGAGTTATCTAGTGTAACAATGAAAAATCAAAAAGAAGAGGTAAACACCTTACCCTTAGAGATTGAAGGATAACTTGGAGAAATAGAAATTATGCCTGCAGAAACTAAACAAGAGGATGTCCCTAAGGAGGAAGAAGAAAAAGCTCAGGTGTCATTTGAAGTGTTCAATGGGGAGTCTCTTTTAACCAAATTTGATTTTAATGATTATTTTGTTATTGATATGGTTGATGAGATTTTGCAAGGATCTATTTGAGATTTACCTTATTCAAGCAAAAGACTCAATCAAAGAATACATAAATTGCTTGAACACATCATCTTCCTTGGAATCAAATGAGGCACTCCTAGAAGAATTGGAAAGGCACATCTACTGGCCTAAACCCAAACCACCTCAAAATAATCATTGGAGAAAATCTTATGGTGGATTCAACTTAAGGGCAAGAAAGCCAAGATTTAGGAAAATGAGAGGACATGCCTTATGACCTGATCCAAAACCACCTTGGAGTGGTAGAAAGTCTAGCTAATGACTATAAATTAAGTGCTTCTTGGGAGGCAACCCAAGCATAAAATTTTTCGTTTCTTTTGTTTCTTTATCTTTTATTTTAATAGTTTAGATTTTTTTTTAAAATCATTTTCTCTTTATGGCCTAGGTTAATGCATAAATTGTTGTTCTTTGATTTTGGCCAGGTCATTGAACAAGTTTGGGGGACGAGATTATGGAAATCACATGCTTAAAGTCTCCAATTGAAAAAACTCAACTTCAAAACTTAAATTTTCAAGTGCAAAACCTGGGAAGTTTCTCTTTTCTCTTACTTTTATTTTACATTGAGGACAATATTTGATTTAAGTCTGGGGAAAAGAATAACTTTTAGGCATTCATTCTTACATTATTTGCATTCATATTTGCATGATATACATTTTTTTTTTTTAGAAATTAGGGATTTTTTTTTTAGGAATTGATCCAATTAATGTCAAGGAATTAAATATTCTTGAGTTAGAGCTTTTAAAATCTTTTAATCTTAGAGGAGATACAAATCTAAAAAATAACACCATTGTGATGAAATTTAAGTTCATGAGTATTATATTCTATTTAAGCACAAGTTTATAGTGAGAAGTTTAGAGAGAAGACTTAGTAGCATCTAAAAAGCAGAAAAAGAAAACAAAAAAAAAAAAAAAGCCAACACACAAAAGAGTTTATTAATTTCTACTCCAATGTTTCTTGTTGCTTAGTAACTGGGGGTTAGGCATGAAACCCATGTCAATTTTCACATCAAACGGCGACTTGAAATATGAGTATGCAAGGCACTTTGAGTTTATTACTTGTTGAGTAACCGGGTGCTTTCATCACAAATGTTTGTATTCGTGTCAAAAGACAAATTATAACTTAGGGAAGAATGTGTTGTATGGCTAAAGAAAAAAAAAAAAAAAAAAAAAAAAGATCGAACCTAGCAAATTGTTGGGTTCTCAAGAACCTAGCAGATCACTGGGTTCGATTAATCAAACCTAGTAGATCATTGGATTCGATCGAACCCACCCAACAAATCTGTTGGGTTTCGAAGAGGAGATGATTAAAAGGAGATGAGAGATGATTAAAGGAAAGAGATGATGAGGAGATGAGAAAAAGAATGCAAAACACTCTAAGTTTATGACTTATTGACTAACTGAGTGCTTTCATCACAAATGTTAGTATTCGCGTCAAAAGGCAAGTGATAGCTTTGGGAAAAATATTTGTATGACTTAAAAAAAAAAAAAAGTCAAATGTTTCATGGCCTTTGTTACTTGAGTAAGTATATTCTTAGGGGTCTCTCTTCACCTAAGGCCCTAAAGCCAACTGGTTTGGGAGTCATTGACAGAAAACTCGTTACATGGGTAACTTAGAAAGCCTAAGGAAACTTGACTCAAAGAAAAAAATAATAATAATAATAATAAGGTGCTAAAGTGTGAAGGTCTAAATTTGAAAACTTCTCATTATGAATTTTCACACACACACACTAAGTGCTCATAAGCTAAATCTTTTGGTAAGTGGTGTGAAGAATAGGATGGAGTATTTGAAGTTAAAAGAGTATTAGAAACTCTTGAATATTTGAGACTTTGTATCTAATTAAATTTTAATTCCTAAATTTTCTTTGCATGCACATTATGTAGTTTACATTCTTGCATTAGGATTTTATGGGTAGATCCACTAAAAACCCTCACAAGACACAACTCGTCCACTAGGGTGACCTAGGGGTTTAAAGGCTCGTTACACATGCTAAGTACAATCGTGATTCCTATGAAAGTGAGTTAAGTTTTATTTTTGTCATTTTATTTTGCTTGAGGACTAACAAAACTTAAGTTTGGGGGAATTTGATGAATTGAATTTATATATATATATTAATGTTGAATTTTTACCTTGATATCATTAATATTTGGATGAATTTTATGAGATTTTACATGAGGTTTCATTCTTTGTGCAGAAAAGGACTTGGATGCATAATAATAGGAGTTTTGGAATTAATTGAATATCTTTTAGAAGTTGACGGACTGAACTGCAAGAAGAAAGAGGCTTCTTTGGGACCTAAATGAGTGAGTCTTAAGTTTTGGGATCTGAGTGCTAAGAGTACAAAATCTGGAGGATCAGATCTGCAATTTTACCATTGAAGAAATTGCAAAAGAGGCCAAAAACCCGACACGAGTGTGGTGTCGACACATAATCAGGGTGTCAATAGTATGCAGTACGCGTCCAGAATCACAGTTCTTGTTTCCTGTTCTGTGTTGACACGTAATTTGGGGCGTCGACACTAAGCGTTCAACATCCAAAATCCCAATTTCCTATTTTGTTTCGAGTCCTACTTCTCTTCTAATAGGGTTTCTTAAACTCTATAAATACTCATTCAAAAATCAGTTTTGGGGTTTTGGAGAGGAGACCAAGAGAGACGATTAAGAGGAATTCAATAATAAAAGAAAATCAAGCCTTGGAATTTTATATCGTTAAACTGGTTTTACTTGTCTTTGAATTTTATTTTATGATATTGGATTCTCATATATTCATCATGGGATTATTGATTTTCTTTTCTTTAATTATGAACTGATTTAACCATCTAAGGCCACGATGTAACCTAATCAATATAATATAATTTTATTATTTTTATACTTTTAAGGTTTATTATTTTATGTAGAGTATATATTATTGTTCTTAATGCTTTTTAATGATTGGCCACCATTAAAATGGACTTGGAGAGCATAATTGAGATTGAGAAGAGATTTTATGCAATAATTTCGAGTAATATATACCATGAATTGAATGAAAGGCAGAGATGGACCAACGTTATTTGTGCAGCATTAGTAATAAGTGGACTTAATTTTCCATGTAAACTAAGGAATTTCATAGAATATAATGCATCTTTATTTATTTAAATTCACATAAAGATATAATAGATTAATAGGTGAAAATAGGTTTAGTATAACTTAAGAAAGTATATCAGATAAGATAGGAAATCTCGCTGTCATATAAATAATAAATACCTTAAAAGTATATTAATTTAAATTCTATATTAGTTGATTATGGTGAAATCGGATGCTTTAAAGTTTTAACTCTTGGAGTTACTTAAAGTCAATTTAGTTTTCCTTTAATTAGTTTAGTTATTTAATTTATTTAAATCATTTAATTTTAATTATCTAAATAAAATTAGAATTAGTTAATTTTAGTACTTAATTAGACTACGGTCTATGTAAAATGATACTCTATTTACATCATTATATTACTTGAACTGATTAATACACTTGCTAGAGTAGAATTAGCTCATCACAATGCTCGCAAAAAACAACCACAGGGATTTACTGTTTATTCTTGCAGGGAGCAGTGATGAGTTGAAATTGTATACATATTAATGTAGAATTGTTGCCTTGATATTATTGATATTTGGATGAGTTTTATGAAATTTTACTGAGTTTTATGAGACTTTACATGATTTTCATTTTTTGTGTAGAAAAAGATTTGAATGCATAAAATAAGAGTTTTGAGGATTTATTGAATATTTTCTAAAAGTTGAGGGACTGAATTGCAAGAAGAGTGGCCATTTGGAACCTAAATGAATGAATCTTGAGTTTTGAGATCTAAGTGCTCATAGCACAAAATTTGGAAGTCCAGATCTGCTATTTTACCATTGAAAAAATTGCAAAAGGAAGCCAAAAACCCGACACGGGTGTAGTGTCGACACGTAACCGGGGTGTCGACACCATGTGTTAAACGTCCAGAATCAGATTCTGTTTCCTATTTTGTGTCAACACGTAATCCGAAGTGTCAGCACCACACGATCAGCATCCAAAATTCATTTCCTATTTCTATTCCAAGTCCTACTTCTATTTCAATTAGAGTTTCTAAAATCCTATAAATACCCATCTAAATTCAGAATTAGGGGAGTTTTGAGAGGCTAGTGGTAGCCCTCTTTTGGGCATTATTGGAGATCAAGATTGAAGTTCCATCAACAATAGAAGATCAAAGAGTTCGATTTCCACAAATTGGATTTTGTCTTTCCTTGGGTTTTTATCTATTGTTTGATATTTGAATGTTCATAACTTTGATTTCATATTTTATTATTTTTATTATGAACTGATTTATTCTACTAAGGCTACGATGTAGCCTAATCAATTCAATATAAATTTAGTGATTTTATGCTTTCAATTAAAGTTATTTGCATAAGGAGTTTATATTATTAAATTTAATGCATTGGAAGTCTGATCACCTTTCAATTGATTTAGTGATTTATGTAGGTTAAATACCCTTTTTGGTCCCTCTACTATAGGAAAAAGCCCCTTTTTAGTCCCTGTACCAAAAAAATCCCCTTTTTGGTCC